CTCTCTCTCTTTTTTAATATATAAATTTTATTATTACGTAGAATAATAATAAATAGTATTTCAAAATAAATAAAAATATTATAAAGAAAATAATAAATCTAATTATAATTTTAAAAATAAAAAATTTGTTAATCATCATTCTTGACAGCCGATGTGGGAAGACGATCGTTCAGAGGAGTTAAAAAAGTGGGTCCCGACTTTCGGCTTTTGATTAAGTGCTTAAAACTAAAGCCTCAAGCCCAAGCCAATCAGTTTCTCCTATTTCGACCTCTAAAGCTGCGTCAGCTTCTCGCCATGCAAACCTGCGTTTACTTACCCCTTATAGATTTACCTCTCAATAATAATAAATTCAGGGGAAAAAAAAAAAACAATTAGGATAAATGAAATTTCAAGGTTTAAAATTAATAAAATTTACTGAAGATAAATACATTATTTTTATTTTATTTTCAAGATAATAAAATATAGTTAACAATGAATTAATTGGGTTTAAATTTATATATCAAATTAATAAATTTAGAAAATGCGATACCATTTTGATGCTCTCTGCCACCTTTGGTAGCGGCACCCATAACTAAATCATATATGACTGCAAACAAAGGATAATATTCTATATACAACATACATATATGAATATATTTATGTATATATATATATATATATATGTGTGTGTGTGAATAATCTGGTTTCTGCCTTGCCAGAGGTACTTATGCCAACAGAGGAATACAAATATTTATATAAGATAAGGTGATGAATTATGACAAGAATTCTACAAGTTCATTTCATTTGGGCATCTAATAATTAAATTAATTATGCGTATGAATTATCTAGCTGATAATTAATTATCATCTATTAGTAATTTTATTAATTTTATGCAAGCAAATTAAGTATATATATATATTAGTAATGTTATGAATTTTTCGAAAATAATAAAAGCAATATTTAAAAATTTTCAAACTCTACTATACTTGTTTTTTATCGTATTTTTAAAGTAGAAAATATAAAATAATTTCATATATTAACTAAAATTTAAATTTTATCGTAAAATAATTATGAAATATAAGACATTAATGAATTTGTACTTTATTAAGTTACCCTTCAAAACCACAGACCTTACACATGCGAAAGTATGTATGTCAGAGTTTAATCTTCGAAATAATTTATTACAATAAATGTCCCATGCAACATATGTATACATATATATATTTAATTTCCTTTACATTTTCACTCGAATAGGATATATACACATATATATTAGTGGCCATATTGATGAAACTAAAATATTAATTTATTATATGTAAAAAAAATTAAATTGTTAATGGAAATGGAACCACTCACAATATATATATATATATATATTTTTTAAACGAATGGTTATTCAATAACAAATAATTATATTAACACCCAACTACCAAATATAATATAACATATAGTAATGCATTTTGTACCTCCAATACATGTGC